GTTATTTCCCTTAACCAGGAAATTAACGTTCTTAGAATTGACAGACAGTTGACCCTGAGAGGTCAAGTAAATACTTGATAGATAGATAGATAGATTCCTTTCAAGTGTCAGCTCCAGCCCCTAAGTCAGCTCCAGTGTTGGCTCCAGCCGCAGAATCCGCTCATTTCCCCCACCTCAGTCAAGAGCCTGCTACAGCCCCTGAATTTAATCCTGTCCTAGAGTTCGGTTATGAGTTCACTCCAGGATTCAGTAACGAGTCTGCTTCAGCCCAAGTGATAAATATCAAGGCAGTCACAATCTCTAAATCTACATGGGAACCCACTCTAACCCCTGAATCGACATCAGAGCCCACTTGTGCCTTTGAAATAACTCTAAATTTAATTCCAGTCCTTGAGTCCGTATGAGAATTCCACTCAGACTAAAAGTCTGCTCCAGAATATAGCCCAGTGATGGCTCCAGCCCCAGACCAGAGTTCAGTGACGACTCCAGTCGCTGACCAGAGTTCAGTGATGGCTCCAACCTCTGACCAAAGTCCAGTGATGGCTCCAGCCCCAGACCAGAGTTCAGTGATGGCTCCAGTCCCTGACCAGAGTTCAGTGACGGCTCCAGTCCCTGACCAGGGTTCAGTGATGGCTCCAGTCCTTGACCAAAGTCCAGTGATGGCTCCAGCCCTTGACCACAGTTTAGTGATGGCTTCAGCCCCTGAGTTCAGCCCTGAGATCTCTCCAGTCCCAAAGTTCAGTAATGAGTCCGCTCTAGTCGCAGAGTTCAGTAACGAACCCACTCCGGCCCTGAGTCTGCACCGGAACCCGCTCTAACCATGGAATCTGTTCAAGAGTCCATTTCTATCTGTGAGTTTACTCCAAATTTCCCTCCAGACCATGAGTCTGTACAAGAATTTCCCCCAGACCAGGAGTCCACTCCAGAGTTCAGCCAGGAGCCCATTCAATTCCCCATACTCAGTAAGGGGTTTGCACTCATCCCAGAACTCAGCCCAATGCCCGCTCTCATCCCAGAGCTCAGCCCAGTGCCTGTTCTCGTCCCAGAGCCTGGCACAGTACCTGTTCTACCTCCAGAATCCGCAATTAACAGGGCCACCAAGTCTCCCACTATCATGAGTGCTATACCTGAGTCTCCTGATATCAAATCCATTATGTCAGTGCCCAACCAGATTGTTTTAAGCTTAGAGGATTCAGAGTCCCTTCTGCCACTGATTGTTCTCCCTGTTACGGCGCTAACCATAATGTGTTTGGGCCACACACTGCTCTCCCACTCATAGCGAAGTGGAGGTGTTCGCTCCCAAATTTCATGTCTGTCCAAGAGGGTCTTTCCCAAGTTTCCTGTATGTCATGAGGCAACCAAGAAGGTCATTCCCGAACTTCCTGTCTGTCCTGATATGACCACGGAGGTCGTTCCTGAGTCTTCTGTCTAGCCGACCCCCCCAGACACCCATCTCTCAGCTGGCCCCAAGTCAGCCGACACTCCAGTCATCCTCAAGCCAGTTACTCATCCAGGAGATTTCAAGCCAGCAAATACTCCTGATGATCTCGAGCCATCCGATCTGCTAAGGGTTTGAGTCGCCAGCTCCCCCAGTTCTGCTCTGGTAGTCTTCAGCTCCCTCTGCTCTGTTGTGGTGGTCTTCTGCTCCACCTCCACCTCCACCAGCTGCCTTTTAAATTTTAGTATAGGGTTCCCTTGCACCAGGATGATCATATGTGGGGTCTGTCAGCTAAAAGACTGAAAACTGACAATTAATTTACTTTTTAATAAATTAAAAACAATACTGGCATTGTAAATGTACTGAAGCTAATGTCCAGTTGTCTCAGTAGCATTATGCAATGGTTGCTGTATATAATTCCAGTCCTATCGCCGAGCTTTGAAATGATGTGTATTGTGAAAATACACAAATAAATTTGATTTAACCTGATTATGAGAGTGTGGCTCTTGTAGGCCTGCCCATTCAAACAGGCACCACAGGACAACAATTTCACTGTAGGCCACAAATAGCGTTTGGATATTTCACACTTAATTCGTTACTAATTCAGTAAAATGATCAGATATGAAAGATTACAGTATCAGTTTTACAACTATCATGTTTCTGATTGCAGAGAAAAAGAGCATATTGCTGTACAAATGAGAAAACAACCCAAATGTTATATTTTAGCTCAAGAACTTAATTTAAATAAAAAGGGGTTTTGTAGGTTTACTTGTACATTCAGTCAGTTTGTACCAGCTTTTATACTGAAACAATGAAATAGGCAAAGTGTAGAGGTAATATTAACAGAAATGTCTCTGAATATATAGTCCAGAGGGAAAAGGGACACTTCAACGCTTCATTATGTAATACGTCTATAAAGAGTACTTACCAATGATTTTGACCTCTCCATCCACTGTTTTCACAAACTACCTGTCTGGAATGATTATTTCAAATGAAAATACAACAATAACCTGGAATTAATGCAATTCTAAAATGTTGTACAGAAGTATTACTGGTGATTTGACTGGAGACATCATGTTTTCTGAATGAGGAATTATATTGTTTTTCATTGTATCCACTGTCCACTTTATCCAACTCGGAAGTTATTTTTTTTGTGAATGTGCGAAACTTCCTATTCATTAGCCGCTATGGGTAAATAACTAGTCTCAAAGTAAAACGTTAAAACTATTTGCACTACAAACCAGTGGGATGGTGCAACTGAGTGTGTAATGTAAAGTGCATTCTAAAGATTACCAAGCAGAAAGCCATTGTGTTGTACAGTTCTGTTATTATCATTATGCTAGAAGGTTTTTCAAAAAGATTTACTTATGTTTTAGATAAAAGAATATCACAAGATCTTTTAAGGTTATTAAGTCACATTCAAAATCAAAAGAAAGATAATTATTTTTCTTTAAATGAATCATTTTATGGAACATCTTTCTCTGTATTTCTCATCATTATATATATATATACTGTATATACAAATACATATGCACACACACACACTTATATGTATACTATTGTAAGAGCAAATGTATAACAAAATATGCAGTAATGACAATCCTCTATAAAAAGAATGGGAATTCTAAAAAATGCATTACTTTAATAAGAATTTGGGAGAGGAGATTTGTTTTTGTTAAATATAATTTTAATATGGGGTTAAAAGTGTGTTAGTCTTGGACATATTTTGTGAGATTTACCCTAAAGTATATTTGCTCTATGGGCTCTTACACTGTCGACAAAAGTAAACTGTACAAGGGGTGATCCGTGAACATTGACTAAAACAGTGTGCTTAATAGGCTACAGTACGGTACCTTATGTTATATATAAGTATAATTATCTCATTCTTGAAAATTTGGGCCATAATGGAGCTCTTATCCTGACATACTATCTCCCGACAGTTATTTTTAAAAAGAGTGGCATACTGAGTCCCTGGGGTTTGTGTTGCTAATCAGAGAACAACCTCACAGAGGCACTAGAGTACATCCGTAGTGATTAATAATAGTGCACACTAAAGGAGCCCAGGAGCCTATACTCAGAATGCAATGTTTTTATACGCTTATTTTAATATAATCAAAGAATATGTAATACACACACACACACACACACACACACACACACACACACACTGAAACATGAGCATTGAGTCTGAAATACTAAATGTAGCTGATTATCATGGCAGTGAGGTCTATTGTGTGATACCTTAGAGGGCGAAACAGTGACATATCCCTGCAGAAATGAATGAGAGAAATAAGAACAAAATATCAATGTCAGTGAAATCACAGGTATTATGTGTCTCAGTATACAGTAGGATGCAGTGACGTGCAGTGGATGAGGATGTGACTTACACAGTCAGACCAGGGGCAGACATGGACCTGCCCTGCCTGCGGCTGGGACACTCGAACGGGTTACTGAAGGAGCGCTTCCGCAGCATGGACTTCACCAGGATCTTAAAATACGGCGCGAAAGAGAAAATATTCACTCTAAAACAAGTCATTAAACTGCACACATTTACAAATAACCACAACATGGTACTCTTTGATCCACAATATTGGACTTTTTTGAGACTCACATATTAAACAGTTGACGGTAGCCACAGACATCCATAGTATTTTTTTGGTTTATATATATACAGTACGTATATATTATGGAAGTCAATGGCTACCGTCAATTGTTTGGTAACCAACATTCTTCAAAATATCTTCTTTTGTGCTCAAAAGAAGACAGAATCTCATACAGGTTTGGAACAACACGAGGGTGAGTATATGTACCTTACCTTGTACCTTACATGTGCAATGACAATAAAGTTGAATCTAATCTAATGATGACAATTTTCAGTTTTGGGTGAACTATCTTTTAAAGGATTTAAAAAAAAAAGGAGTTGCATTAAATTGATCAAGTGTGGCAGTGAAGACATTACAATGTTACAAAAGATTTATATAAATAAATGAAGACTAATGAAAAAAAAAATCAGCTTGCCATCACGGGAATAAATTACATTTTAAAATATATGAATATAGAATGCAGTTATTTTAAATTGCAATAACATTTTACAATATGACTGTTTTTACTGTATTTTTGCGCAAATAAATTGTGAGCATAAGAGACTTCTTTCAAAAACATGTATATGTTCATGTTGAATGAAAGTGAATGTTAGACCAACAATAACAGTTTCATAATTAAAATTGTGGATTTGTTTGCTCCCAGAATGCATTGCAGCATGTGCGTGTATGGGAGAAACTAAGGGAACTAATCCTATAAATCACAATGCACAATGATTTTTTCCCTAATTTTTATTTTTTTATTAAATTGACCATTACTTTTTTTTTTTTTACAGTGTGTGGCAAATGTTTTTTTTTTTTCTTTCTTCAGATGTACTCACCACAGCAGACAGGCTGGGAACTAGTTTGACAGAGTTCTGCACCTCCTCCTCAGTGACCTCCACCACAGTGCAGTGCTCCTCCTCCAGGGGCAGAAGATCCGTGCCATCAAGCGTGACCCACGGGTACAGCTGCCCACAAACTCAAGATTACACACACACACACACACACACACACACTCAGAGTAACACTAACATCTACACTTTAAAATACTTCTCAGCAATCTTTCAATATGATTTCACCTTGATTTCTGGTAACGTGATTCTAGTTTCAGGGACTCTGTCCAGCATTCTGATGATGAGATCCTTCAGCCCATCACTGATCACGGGCCTGTGCAAAGAACACGAACATAATTACACCAGTCTATCTGTCTGTAATATATTTATAATATAGTAAAGCCCCAGATTTGTAAAGCATTTAAATAAAAGAATTTTCAGCATTGGTGACTCACATGTCTGGGAACTCGACTGGCGCAGTCCTGATCTTTTCATGCAGGCCTAAGATGTATTCATCATGAAAAGGACACTAAACAAAGAAATATTAACAGATTTGTATTCAATATATCCACAGATGCTCTTAACCACATTCATATTTTAAAAGGTGAATGTCTTACCCTTCCAAAGATGAAACAAAACAGCGTCACTCCCATTGCCCATATGTCTAGAGCCTGAATCCAACGAGAGTCGATTGTAAATAATAAAGAATCAATGGCTTCACTGTATGTAAACAGAAATATTCAATAAATCTTCTGACCTTTCCACTAAATCTGAGGTCCTGGTCAGTCAGAGTTTCAGGTGCCATGAAAGCTGGTGTTCCTGCACTGTCTGATAGGAGAGCATCGTTCCCCTCAAACACATTACTGACACCGAAATCTGCGATCTTGATGTGTCCATCATCCCCCAGCAACAGATTGGAGGGTTTGATGTCTCTATGTATGATTTTCTGATAGTGCACTAAAAAAAATAAAACATGAAACAAGTAACTATAACCAAACCCTAAAGTTAAATAAATGACATTCGTAAATACAAGACAGCTTAAAATACCCTAGACTAGGGAAACATACAGTATTCAATTCCTAGGATGACATCTCTGAAGTAGAAGCGGGCCATTTCTTCTGTTAGAGGACTGTCTGTTGGGATCTCCATCACTGGACTAGGACGGGGCGAACATGATAAGAGAAAAAACAAACTAAAGAAACATCTAGTTTGTATATGTGTGGTAATGCCCTATAGGTATAAATACTCACCCTTTAGGTACCAACTCAAAGACTATGAAAGGGACACACAGAATAAATAGAAAGCAAAATAGATCAAAGAGTAAAAAGGAAAGTGGTCTATATCGCAGATTGCTGACTAACAAAATGACTTACCCATGTGCAAGTTATCCTCAGCCGGGTCATCAAGAACCTTCAGTTAAATATCACAGGACAGATGCGTTTTGGTTAGTTATTACAGCAGAGTTGTTATTTAATTTAAATATGTTTGATGAAATAAAGCTGGAATACAATAAAATATAAATATTAGATTAAAAACTTAAATTTGTAATATTGCCTTGGCAGCTAACTGAAATAAATACGTTTAAGTTTTAAGCTGAAAGATAAAAATAAATTAAAGCTAAATAAAAATACTTTAAAAAACAAAAATGGCAAAAAGCAAATAACAAAATAACTGAAACTAACATTGAAAATGAAAACTGGAAATATCAAAATAAAAGCTCATTCAAAATAAAAATATATACTATATAAATGATACCAAAATAACACAGAGTTATACTTTATAGTCCAACATATTTGCCTTGTATGGTAAAGAATCCTGACATGTTTTTGACTCACCTCAACTAAATGAACAACATTAAGATGGTCAAGTTTCTTCAATATAGCAATTTCTTGATATACCCGGTCCAACAGGCCAGAATGCTTTAAAAGATTCTCTTGGGATCCATTTGATTCTCTGGAAGGACGTCGCCCTACACAACCATCACAACATTAATATTAATATTCTGCAGACAAACTTCATAAGAGTAAATGTAATGTAAATGTTTATCGCTTACGTGGGAATCCATACTGCTTCATTAACTTCTTTTTGGATACCAACTTCATAGCCTGGAATAAATTATTATATTATATTATATTATATTATATTATATTATATAATGGCTGCAATATAACAAAGAGTGAAAAATTTAAGGGGGTCTGAATACTTTCCGTACCCACTGTATGTTTGATGAAATAAAGCTGGAATACAATAAAATATAAATATTAGATTAAAAACTTAAATTTGTAATATGACTTACCCATGTGCAAGTTATCCTCAGCCGGGTCATCAAGAACCTTCAGTTAAATATCACAGGACAGATGCGTTTTGGTTAGTTATTACAGCAGAGTTGTTATTTAATTTAAATATGTTTGATGAAATAAAGCTGGAATACAATAAAATATAAATATTAGATTAAAAACTTTAAAAACTTAAATTTGTAATATTGCCTTGGCAGCTAACTGAAATAAATACGTTTAAGTTTTAAGCTGAAAGATAAAAATAAATTAAAGCTAAATAAAAATACTTTAAAAAACAAAAATGGCAAAAAGCAAATATGCTATATGCTATATATTATATTATATTATATTATATTATATTATATTATATTATATTATATTATATTATTATAATGCCATTTATTTGCAATTTGTGAGCATTTTTGTAAGTAGTATTAATAATATAATATAATATAAATGGTAATGATAATGATATGGTTAAATGCTGACAGAAGAAAATATAATTTGACAACTAATATGCTTACATAATACTGGTCATCATCTTCATTATATGCTAATTTGACCACCCCATAAGAACCCTGGGTAAAAAAAAAAAGGAAGGTTAACAGAAATAGTCAATCAATCATAAATATGAAAAAAAAAATTTAAAAAATAAAATAAGATACTTAAGTACAACCACCAACCTTTCCTATCTGACTCTTTAACTTGTACTGGTTTAGCTGGACACAGTCCTGTGGGCAGAAACGGGAATGTATTAGGAATGTTGCAAATATGACGATAATTAACAAATAAAATACTGATAATTTAATATACTCATAATACTCACCAAAAACATAAAATAAACAACATTAAAGATTAATTTAATAGCATTTTTTCTTTATTTCAAAATTTCTATATGCTGTAAAAATGATTTGTAAATAAAACATTTAAAAATATTATTTTACAAGAAAATAGTTCAGTCTTTCTACTTTTAAATGTAATGTTTAATTCAATGTCTTTCTTGCCATTTCTCTGTAATTATTTGCAAAATTTACTAGCAATTTATGAGTGAAAATTGTAAATCCCATACCTAAATCATGAATTCTTTTGGCTATGATAACCATGTATAGTGAAAATCTGATATCGTGACAGCCCAAGTATAATGAACTCCATGTTAATTTTGGTGAACATACTCCACTGATGCTCAACAATCTCAGGTAACAGTTTGCAGCAAAAGTATAAAATCTCCTGCCCAACTCACATCCCCATCAGAGATAGACACCCGCTTCGATTCAATCGTGGGTCTTCTGGCTATTCGTGGGGTGATGCCATTCTGGTAACTGGATCGCTCCTGCAGTGACAGCTTGCGATCGGAGAGACTGAGGCGATGTGGGGTGGTCCTGTAGCCATTAGAAGGGGTCAGTCTGTTGGCAGCCACGTTCATGGCTGCTACCATGTCAGCCAGTTCAGCATTATAATCAGGGTCCAAATCCAGCCTGTTAGCTATGTCAGCACTCATGACTGTCCTGCTTCAGTCTGAGCTGTTTAGAACAAAGCACACATCTCAGTGGACATCGCAGAGCTGGTGTTCTTCAGACTAGTCTCTGTGGGAACGTCAAACTGTAAAAGCAGAATTGGATAGTTGAGTTTGACAGCAATAAAAAGCACACTCACTGCCATAAGTTCAAACACATTTAAGTGACGCGTTGTTCTCTTTAAACAACAGAACTTTTCACATCTCAGGTTAAATATGCTTTACGGTTATTACGGAAGCACACAAAATAGACCACTGCTAAAGAGAAATAACTCACAAACCATCTTTATTTCTTTTATAAACATGCATAAACAGAGAAAATACATTTTAAAATAGTCTGAATATTGGCTTTGATAAACACAAAAATGAAATCTACAATGGTCTAAAATTATAATTAAATTTGTGGTCCCATCTGATTCAGGGTTATTATTGTGAACTAAAACAATTAAACAAAACAAAGCAAAACAAAAACATTACTTGAAATAAAATAAATATGAACTGAAATCAAATAAAATATGAGAAACTTAAACGTATTTTATTTCAGCTACAAATGTAATTTTTGTTTAGTTTAAGTCATTACTAAAACTTGAACTAAAACTAAAGTTAAAAAAGAAAAATATATAATACTGAAATAAAATCTTTCAGCTAGTTGCTGAGGCAACATTCATTCAGTTTAAGTTGAAGTATTAAAACAATTTAAATTACATCGACATAAAAAAAACTAATAAAAATGACAAAACACAAAATTACTTTACACGTTTTACAAAATAAATACAACTTAATTAGCATAAATATAAAATAAAAGTAGGTTGTGTCAATCAAGAAAGTATTATTTGTACAGGTTTCTAGTTTTTACTATACATAGGAATTGTTATTACTTACATAGAGCAGCAAGAGTTTGTATTGCCAGCCATAGTGTTGCATGGTCTTCCACTCATCAGGCAGAAAACTGCTGTGCCTCTGAAGCCCAGAGGACTCCAGACTCTTTGGGATCACCGAAGCAAAGAGGATTAGCTAGCATGGTCACATTTAGTCCAGCGTGGCTATATCTGTTCCAAAAGACTGTTTACATGTACTGACTCTAGTCAGTGAAAGGACATAAACAGTAATCAATGAGCGAGGCTACGTCATACTGAGGGCAAGTGTGAACACACAAAGTATGGCAAGTAGTGAAATGATGGCTAAGTGGCTAAGTTCTTGAACCTCCAAGTCAAAGTATAACAGGATAACACTTTAAGGTAAAAGCAATATACTCTTGAGGTGGGAAAGAAGATCAAGTGTTATGTAACCTCATATAGGACATACACTGGACAACAAAATTGGATTTAATCCAAAACAAAGATACTTTTATAGAACATGTCAAGCTTATATCCTTATCCTTACAAGCTTATATCCTTAAGAGGTTCCCCTGTTCGGAAATTATATATATATATACACACACACACATACATACATATATATATATATATACACTGTATATATATATATATATCCATATATATATGATACAATAACCCATATATATGAAGGTTATTGTATCAATTGGATGTCTAATATTTAGTTAATTTAATGAAAAGTAATATGTTGGAATATAACTAAATATAAAGTAACAGGGTTGATGATGGCATGTTGACAGTTTTATAATTAATTTGGCCACGTTCACGGTATTATTAGAAAGGGAGTTTAATGCTGATACTTTTTACAAATATCTCATTTTAAACAGGGTTTCTACAGACATGAACAAGTTACATTTAAGACCTTTTTAATACCACCTTATATGAAATTTAAGACCTAAACCTGTAATGGAAATACACATTTTATTACATAGATATATGTAATATTTAATTTGTTTAAATAAAAAAGAAAACAAAATATCATTGCTGTAATAAATGATATTTATTACTACGATATACAGTGAACTTTTCATATCAGCAGACCATATTCCATACAAAATATCCCTGCAGAATAACTGCATCACTGAGATTTTTTTGGTGGAGTAAACAATTTATTCTGAAGCAATATTTTCATCAGTGTTCTATCAGCTTTTACATACTTAAATCTGCATATTTTTATTTACCTTTACAAAGGCCTATTTTGTAAAATTTTTAAATGAATGCATCTTTCGTGTCACATTATTACAATTGATCAATAAATTCAATATACACTATAGGGCTGCTACCAGTCAGATTAAATAATTTACACTGCAAATAACAATAATTACAACTGCAATAAATAATGTTATGAGATTAATG